AAAAAAAATGTTCGATCTATTGAACTGTATAAAGCTGACCTAAAAACCAAACCTTATTAAGCACTAATCTAATACATGAAAAGCTATTAAGATCCGAGTATTTGTGATTTCCATAACGTGCTGCCTCAGAAGGCCCGTTGTTGATGTGATTTATTATACAATTCCTGATCAAACCGGTTTGACATATCTGCATGGCATCACTGGTTTATGATTTAATGAATGTTCTAAACCTTTTTTAGGCATCCATGGTTGGCTACAAATATGGCGTCCTCCGGTGGAGTAAAACAGGCAGTGAGTATCACCTATTCTTTCTCGTAATTAATATGTCTAGGGTCTTCTCAGAAACAGTCTGATAAAGTCTGCATACATCTTTTACCCCCTAGACCCTACCTCCAGATGGGATATACTGGGTTTGTTTAGTTTTTGTCTGGTAATTAACGTTTGCATTCATATCTGACTGGACAAATCTACGTTTTTTAAAGAAAAAACCGTTGAAGGCACTGCTGCTGGCATAACGTCGGTCTTGGCTGCATGTTCTGCTCTGCTTCCTCTCTTAGCTGCCACTGGACACATGTTCACTCAGGTCTATATCCATCTCTATCTCCATATCTATATCTAATGGTTTGCGTTTTCTAGTATACCAAACATGTTTTTTAACCCACATACTTGTGCAGCACTGGTTGTCTCTTCTGTCGGCGGTCACGTTGAGCGGTTTACTGGAGGCGTACACGGCGCAGCTTGATAACGCCTTCATACCCCTGGTTTTCTACAGCCTTCTATGCCTGTAAATACTAACAAGAGGAAAGTAGATATCCCCTTCTTTGTAGGGTTGGGTTTTACACACATATTAGTAGAAGATTAGAAGTTGTAGATTAGATTATTTTTTTCATATATATATATATATATACATATGTAAACATAAATAAGTTTTAGTTACTAAACTATGGAAGTTGTTTATTTGGTGAGTAAAAACATGTTCTAGTTGGGCCATTTCCAACCGTACTGCATATTTCAGATTTTTTTTATTAACTTGGATATCCAAACCCGCTATGCGAGCCGACTAATCCCAGGGCGACCACCTGCTTTGCAAATAGTTTGGATTCACCGCATTTGAATCTCCGTGGCCATAAGGGGATTTTTATTCCTCTTTGGATTTGAACCTGAGACCTCCTGGTATTTTCGACCGTTGAAGCCAAGTTTAAACCAATCAGTCACCACCCTTGTGGTTCATATTTGAGATTTTGTTGGAGAGGAAGATGTAATTGTATGGCAAAAAGAATGGCAAAATGTTAAAAGATGGGAGAAAAACAACATATATGTTGTGTTTCTGTCAAGATTCTAAATGGTGTGGGTCCTGACGTCATGGCAAGATAAGGCTAAAGCCTTACATGTCACAACGCAGACACGACATTTTTTAAGGCATGACATAAGATGGTAAATTTGTATGTTATATATATAATTATATATATATATATATATATATACACGTGTTTTTTCTATTTATTGTTTAATGATATAATGATATTAAAAAATTTATATTCATATTAGAAGAAAAATCATATATAGTAATTAGTATTATATAAAGAGTTAACGATCAAACGTATAAAATAGAACTTGGAAGGATTTTGTAACTTCCTTTTAACCATAAGTCCGTGACATGTGTGAATTCATGAGACTGTGAGTGATGTGTGAGTGATGTGATTAGGTAAATCTATAAAAGTATAAAAATAACACAGGCAAAAGTATAAACAAAATAAATTTTAAAAAAAGATCAGTGTTAGAAAAGGGGTCATGGCTTGATATGGCATAAGACACATCTCTGCCATTACAATAAGGTCTATAGCGTTTCTGTAAGGCGTTACTCACGCTATGAGGTGCATTTTTTTTACAAGAGATGATCTTTTTCAATTTTTTTTAGTTTTTGTATTTTTACATTTTTAACTTTAAATTTTATAATTTTATAAATTTATTTAATCATATCACTCACAGTTTTACAAATACATACACGTTATAGACTCACGATTAAAACGAAGTTGTAAAGTTCATTTTTAAGTTCTATTTTGAATATTTTAATCAAATACCATTTTTATAATAATAATAATCTGTATGATTTTTTGTTTTTCTAATATGAATGTAAACTTTTTTAATATCATTAATTTAGCGTCCTATGTCACGTCGTCTCGTCGTGGCACGTAAAGACTTGACATCATCGCCACGTCATGCCCCACGTCATTTAAAACCTTGGAAAAAAGTAATTCATTGTAAAAACGCACTTCAAAGATGCGTTTTACACAAGCATTATATGTCTTATCATAACGGCGACAATACGTCTTACACCATAGTGTGCCCTTTAGAATCTTGGTTCCTGTTTAAAGAACGTATATGCCTGGTGGTTGGAGTTAATCACACGTTTGATTTCAACTTAGGGGCCGTTTATCAAACACTTACCCGATAAGTGCTTACCGGTAAAATTTAATACTATTATGTACTTACTGGGTAAGATTTTAGTCCACCAAAACGAGATAGTATACAATAATTTACCTGGTAAGCTCTTACCATGGTAAGAGTCGTCGCCTTCACTTACCGGGTAAGACTCTTGATCCTTGTCTCGCTCTTACCAGGTAAGATTCTTGGTCCTTACTATATTCATCCGGTGAGGTAATATTACTTGGTAAGCGCTTACCCAGGTAAGCGTTTGGTAAACGGCCCCTTAATAAGTTTAGTGGGTGGTTAGTTTGATTAATTAAGATATATTAAAATGTTTGATTTAAATTTAATACTAAAACAAAGGCTTAACAGGGTAAGCCGATCGATCCTATCTTAATGCATTAAGCCGATCGATCCTATCTTAATGCATTAAATATTGTAATAAATTTGCTAAATGTTTTTTATGTTAATTTAATGATTCATACAATTTTGTTGCTATAATCAATTAATTCTATCAATCGAAATCAATCAAAATCGAGTTGTATCGTATTGTACTGAGTAGGTACACTTCCAGTCTTCTTTAAAATGAAAACATGACGATCAAACGTCATTTCTTCCCCGAGGCGTCTTTTCCTTATTAATAGTTTGAGGTTAACGTTAAGGAAAAAGAGACCTTGGAAAAGGGTCACTTGAATTCGATCTTGTCTGTAGAAATTGATCGTGGAACCAATCACAAAGCAATCATGGTCGGGCCAACTAAAGCATCTAACACAATCAATTGTCCAATCAAAAACTATTTGTGATTGGACTGGTTAAAAGAATCCAGCATAAAGATATTTCTTTCAAGTTTTCAGTAAATAGATCAACGTAAGTGTTAACGTGGAGATATATGCATCAAACACTCATCTGAAACGTCAACATGGAAATATATGCATCAAGTACTCATGTCGATTTATCTTGATATTAAATATCTCTAGATTTAGAAAAGAATCCGATATTTTTATTGCTCTTATACAATTGACTTAAGATATGTACCTTTCAGCATTCAGTATTTTTATCTGATTATGATATCTAATACTTTGATCACATGATATTAATAGATTTGCACAATTGGACTCCTACCAGAAACGGGTCGTAGGACCGGCCCGTTGGCTACCATTTTTTAGTCGGTCGATCCGTCCTACGGTCCTCAATGGCGAGTTGGCTGCCATTTTTGAGCATTTGATTCCAAAAAAAAGCTTGTTCATGCTCACTCAAAGTTGTGTCATGTACATCAACAACTTTAAAAGCATTTTTTGGGTGAATTTTAATTCAAATATTTCAAAATATGCAGGAGAAATTGTATGAAAAGGTAAGATACTTTAATCTAATTTCTATTTTGAGTAAAGTACTTTTAACACCTTAGATATCAAAATAGAAGTTTTGAAAGTACGTTACCCAAAATAGGAATAAAGTTAAAATACGTTAGTTTTTTATGTAATTTGTCCAAATATATATATATATACACACACACATGAATCAGTACTTGAAGTTAAAATATTAGGGGCCGTTTACCAAACACTATCATTTACTTACCAGATGAGATTTTAGTTCACTAAAATGGTATCGTATGCAACAATTTATCTGGTAAGCGCTTACCGTGGTAAGAGTCGTCGCCTTCGCTTACCGGATAAGACTCTTGGTCCTTGTCTCGCTCTTACCGGGTAAAATTCTTAATCCTTACCATATTTATCCAGTAAGGTAATATGACTTGGTGTTCACTTACCCGAGTAAGCGTTTGGTAAACGGCCCATTAGTTTATGTCTTTTTAATATGTACATGTTTTTTTTGTTAATTTAGTTATTTTTTGATGTTTTACACATGAAACGTCATTTATGAATTATTTTAGAAAAATATCACGTGTTGTTTCATAAATAAAACAACACTCGTATGAAACTCGGTAAGAAAACTATAATTGTTTCGTATGAGAAACAATAATTAGTTTGATTTCATAAGAGAAACAAACCGATCATAAATTAAAAAAATTAATGTGTTGTTTCATAAGTGTAATAAATTGGTATGAACCTACGGTAACAAAAACTATTATTGTTTCATATGAGAACAATAATTAGTTTGGTTTCATATGAAAAACGACCGATTGAGAAGTTCAAGGAATTAATAATTCCTAAAATAAATCTGATTAATTTGATCCTATGATATATTTAAGGAAAACAGTTATTCTTAAAATATAAATCAAATAAAACGACAAAGATGTCCTTGTTTGTAAGCGTTGTAACATTTAACTGGTTTGCAATATACATACATACATACATATATATATATATATATATATAGAGAGAGAGAGAGAGGTTGGTTATTATACAACCCTTGACATTTGTGCAACCAATACAACCCAATCTCAACCGTCTATTTCATTTGATAAATATGTGATTTCATAGAAGTTTTGATTATTTTCTAATATAAAGTATTAATCGTAATTAATGAACTCTATTCATATTCCATAAATATTCAAATCATAATAAATGAACTCCCATCATTTCTATAAATATCTCAATTAATTGGGTTGCAAAGGTTGTACAAATACACAAGGTTGTAAAAGAAATATATCTTATATATATATATATATATAGGTGGTCTCATCTACAAACCCAACCATTAGTATAAACCATACAAACTAGTTCTAACCATTCATGAATATCTCAACAGTTTCATAATCAAAATTTTTATAGTTTAAACACGTGTCTCCTAAAAACAGACCAGTTCACGTGACCTATCCATATCCATCAACATATAGTTTTAAATTTAAAAGAAAAAATAAAACAAGTCCGACGATGTAATAAACCGCGGTCGTCGTGAGTAACTCGACACCAAATAAAAAGAAAATATCTTTCGTACGATCGTAATCAATCACAGTTGCTACCCTCTGGCATTAATATATTTCTGGAAATCTTGATGCACTTTTATCAATAGAGTTGGTGTTGTAGTCCCAGCACTACCCCCTTATAGTGTTATATATATATATAGGGAAGGGTTCAAACGAGAACCCCTGTGATTTACGAGAACAACCCAATAACCACATATTGTGATAAAAHATAAAATTAAAAGATTTTTAAAACTAAAATTGAAATTTAAAAAGATTCAGAAAATATTAAAATTAAAAGGGTAATAATGGAAATGATATCATAAAATCTTTTAATACGATTACACGATCATGATTATCATTATCT